ACAAAACGTGGTTGCCTACCTCAAAAAACATAATTCATGTGAAATTATCTAATGAGCTATGAACCAAAATACAAGAAATAAAAGACAGTTACTTGGTTAATGTTATAGACAAGAAGAGCCCTCGTCAGTGTTATTCTGTGCCATTTAATTACAACAGTTAGCATACTTATTATTAGGTATCACCTTAAACACTATAATCTAGCACTGAGGGAATGATAGTTTTGAGATGTTCTTTAGTCTAATATACTAATAATTACCACTTTTATTTAAACATGTCCTTAATGTGATTGTCTTTAGACTCTTAATTAACACACAGAAAACTACAAATAGAAATTGAAAATGAACCACAATTTAATGTAGAAAACACAACTAACCTTATTAGATAATTATAGTATCTCCTCCAGAAATTATGGTGAAAGCATCTTATACACTACAGAATGAGAACCTGAGCTATGCCTAAATATGTTTTCAAATAAATGTTGTGATATGACCATATTTTGCTAATTTCAGTATTAGTATGGAAAACCAGTTTATCTAACCTAGGCTTTTGTGTTATACCTGATTGATGAGACTGTACGTACTCATGCAAGAATATTATTTTACAGAAAGGATTACATCTAATCCTAAATAGATAAAAATAGACATACATTTAGGTATAATCATATGTATATTATTTTAGTTCTAGGTTGTCCTAAAACTCCACAATCTCAGTAATAGACCGAAAGGCCTTGGTCTTGATAAGCATCCGTTTAAAGACTGTTCAAATTAAAATCTTAGAAAACCATTATTAGTTAGCGATATTATTAAAGCATTAGAAAGATTACTTACTGTATTTAATGGCTAAATTTTTCTAAATTTCTAAATTATTTACAACATTTTGTATTTAAATTAAGAAATGAGAAAGTAAACCTTAAATAAAGTTATATCCCATCTTTTTTAAAAAGTAAAATGAAGAATTTGGAAACTCCCTCTTCAATATACACAGCTACAAGAATACATAAATACGGCCGGGCGCGGTGGCTCAAGCCTGTAATCCCAGCACTTTGGGAGGCCGAGACGGGCGGAACATGAGGTCAGGAGATTGAGACCATCCTGGCTAACACGGTGAAACCCCGTCTCTACTAAAAATACAAAAAATTAGCCGGGCATGGTGGCGGGCGCCTGTAGTCCCAGCTACTGAGGAGGCTGAGGTAGGAGAATGGTGTGAACCCAGGAGGCGGAGCTTGCAGTGAGCTGAGATGCGGCCACTGCACTCCAGCCTGGGCGACAGAACGAGACTCCGTCTCAAAAGAAAAAAAAAAAGAAAAGAAAAAAAAGAATATATAAATACATCACTGGCTACCTGGTCTAGCCTTCACTTGCCCTCATTAAGTTAACAGCTTCCTGAGACCAGGGTTATGATCCTAATCTTACATATTGACGATAAGCTGCATGAAAATTATAGCTATCCAAAAAAGTCTTCAGTAAAAAGAGGTACTTTGCACCATCCAATATTCTGTCATATTTATCCAACCAACTAATGTCGACATAAGAACAGTAAATTAATTTTAATGTTAGTTCAAACAAAAAAATACAGCTAAGATAGAGATAAATCAGTTAAAAATTATACCAAAATTTCATGCCAAAATGCCAGAAACGTGATTTTTTTTTAGTTAACACTCTCCTTTTAGTAGCTTCTCGTTTTAGTCTATGATCGTGAAAGATCACTTCTACTCTGACCAAAAGAACTGGAACATCCATAAGGAAAATGTCCATGTATAGTTTTAAAGTAGGCAAGCAATTTCGCCAACTCCTTTCTTTGGTTAAAAATTCCAAATAAATTAGTAAGAATCTCTTACTGTCTATAAACTCTTTATATATAAATTATTGCTGTAAAATTAATGATATGGTTAAAATTAACTGTTTTAAAATTCTGCATGCAACTCTTCACATTTGATAAAATATAGTCAAAATGAAAATTATCTTCCAATTGATCATAAAACTTGTATGTGACACTGAAAAACTGTACATATGTTACTAGACATATTGTTTCCAGGACGTACAACTGATTTTTAACAATACTTTGCACCATCAAATGAGGATTGCTTCTACATTGTAACCATGGTAAATTTTATGCTTTCAACAACCTTAACACCCTACCCTGTCTTCTCGGCATATGTCTTCAATTCCTTCAAGAAATTGCCTTCAGGACAAATAGATTTTGTTTTCTGCATTACTTAAGTGATGTTAAATCTTCGTTGCTTCATAGATATTTAGAAACAGACAAAAATCATTTGGAAATATGCCAGATGTACCATTTCAGGTCAAAACTGAAGTAAAATTTAAGTTGTGAGAAATTATTTTTTCCATCTTGGAATTTCACTCTAAAAGCAAACTGATGAGTTACAAAATTATTCTAGATTTTTAAAAAGTAGTTTAATCTCAGGGCAAATTATTTGAAGTAGAAAATTCAGTTTGCTATGCATGTACCAGTATAGATACATGTAAAATATAGTTCACAGAATTTTTTAAAATATATAATAGCTATGCTTATGCTATTCCACATATTTTTACACCATGAATATATGTTAAATGTTTTCACTGTCAGCATACATCAAATTTATAAATATATACACATATTTATAATATATCTATTTTTATTAGTGGCATAATATGGTATTATACAAGAGTGATTATATTTATCTTAATTTTTGAGGACACTATACGTGAAGAGGAACAGTCATTTACACGAGGTCCTAAATGAAGTACACTGATTCAGCTCTCATTTTCCTTTCTATAAAAAAGGGCAAGAATGTATGTGTCTTACGTTGCTGTGAGATTTATTATATCTCCATAGCCTAAGCTTGGGAAGGACGATTCTGGACTTATACATTTAAGAGGTTTAATGCAATAATTCTTGGAATCCTCATTTACAGAAAGCTTCATTTGTCTTTCAGCTTCATGAGCTACACCAGTCAACTGTAGTTTTGGGCTCTGTGCTAAAGGAGCTATTAATGATTTAGGGTAGCAGTCCCTCTGAAATACACCTGAAGAGATACTCCAGGCACTTAATATGTGTCTAGCTTATCTCACAATTTCCACAAACACAGAAAATAAATATTATGCAATTTGTTCCTTGAAAGACAAAAAAGGAACAAACAGATAAGTTACAATATTTGAGCCCTTTTTTTTTTTTAAAGTAATTTCGTAAATTGTTTTATTTAATGGGGAAACAGAGCTATGGTCATTTTAAGTAGTCATCCCAGTTATGACCCAAACTTGAGCCTAATGACATATCAGTTAGACTATATCTTTACTGGTAGAACAAACGGGTAGCATAAAATTTGATCAATATAGTCAACCAAAAAGGAATGTCTCAAATCATACCCCTATCCCCCAGTGTTCCCTGGTATCTGCCAAAGTCAGCATTTTCCTTCAGGAGGATTACTAATTATTTTCACACCAAAATTACCAATGTCATTACCTCCATGACTGCCTTAATTTTGCTTTGCTAAATAGAATTTGGTCAATTAATATTTATTAAGCAACTACTACATGTCCTGATTTTTCTACATGCCTCCAAAAATTAGAACTATGAGGGAAATAACCTAGAAAACTAATATTGTCACTAGTCACATGATCATTTAAATCCTGCATGTAGTTTTACTTACCAAAAATTAAAAATCATACCCTTAATTTCTAAACGTTTAAATTACTTCTGATTCAGTGCATGTTATCAGATGATCTAAAGTGAGGTAAGCTTGATATATAATTATGAAATGAGACCATTTAAAGTATAGCTCTTGCATCAGCTTATTAAAATGAAAAAGTGATAATACAGTTTCTAGGAGGAACTTATATAACTAGGAGGATATTTTTAGATCACATAATTTTATTTAACATGAATATGCTGTTAAGTTCATCAGTTAAAATTACCAAGCATCATACATCTAAATAAAAATCTATTGATATTTTCATTCTCTGTTCTTAAACTTGTTCACTCAAGTCTCAGCTGTTATGTTTGCTTGTTTTCATTTTTAACCAAATATAGGCAGTCATGGGACTCATTAGAAGAAGAAAATGAACTGATTTTCTAGGAAGACCACTGAACTTTTTAATGCCAAATTTACAATTAAGGCAAAAAATAACTTACACACAGAATTTACACCCCAAAATGTAGGCAGATCCTGGAAAAAGGTGACATGCACAACAAAAACATTTGTTATATTTATTTATGATGTTCTTGTAAACATCTCCCACAAAATGAAAAATAGTCTTATTTGGAAATAGCATTATCCCTGATTTTCATGAAATTTTATCTGGAAATATAGTAGTATAAGCAATGATAAATTGAAAGAAGGCTGTTTACACATCATGTCAATGACATATTTGGTACACATAGCTTTTGAGGCACTGAGTATTAGCAAAGATTAATTTTAATTTATTCTTGAAAAAGACAAAAGTTTTGCTAGCTTTGTGCTTTTATCCCACTCCAAAAAAAGTTAAAGTAAAGGTTATCCCGAAGATACTTTTTTTTTAAATGAGAGAAAGTGATAAAAAGTAACATAGAAAATGTCACATGTATTATTAGAAAACAGGAATGATGGTAAAACATTCCATCTAATATTTGTCTGTTTGGAAAAACATATTGCAAAAATGATTTAAAATCGAATGATCAGTTTTACATATATAACATGACTATTAATGTTTTCAAATTTCCTTAAACCTTATTTTCTTAAATTATTTGGACAAATGCTAGCAGGATTTGCATTAAAGTTTATTTCTCTGCAACAGATTGATCAAATATTCTACCACTTCCCATTTTCTTCCAATTGACTCAAAGTTGAATTTCTCCTAATAATTTGCTTAGCATTAAAAAAAGAATAATACAAACATGTGAACTCTTTTAATTTAAATTTGTATTCAAGAAGTGCTTGTCTGATATAATTCAGCTGATAAATATGAACCTATGTGTTTATCAAATCCCTAAGAAGATTATCTAAATCAACTTGTGTAATTACCATTCACCATCTGTTCCACCAGGACCTGAGCTGATCTGCTGGCATCTTGCAGTTTTCTGAACTTCTCGGCTTTTTCTCGCTCTATGGCCTGCAGCATGATAGCAAAGGTGAGTAATTCAATACAAGGATTGTGAATCTACACAATAATTATAACTTCCACTTCCCCTTTCAATCCTTAAGATATTTCACTCTGTCAGCTTCTCATGTGAATCTAAAGACTTTTTTTTTCTCAGTACTTTTGCCATCAAAAACATCAAAACAGCAATAAAAGCATGAGCCGTTTTCATGACTTGCTGCAACTTTTAATGATAAGATTTCTACCCAACATTTTTTATACATTATAGTTTCTGATACATTTTCAATACGAGACTGCAAAAAGTAAAAAGGCAATTCATAACAATGAAAGATAAAGTGTCACATAACTAACATGAAATTTATCTTGTAAAAATACACCATTGAAATTACTCCTAATAAGTATATGGGCAGTATTAAAAATCAAATTGAGAATCCAGCATGTATATAAAATGGAAAAAATAAACTATCATAAATAATTTAGCAGAAATATATAATATATATATATACATATTTAAATACAAGCCTGTAGGCTAATTTTTCTTTCAAAAATAATCATACTACTCCTATTTCCAAGGAAGACTAGATTGAGTTTCAAAAAGCTTTCTAAATTCCTCTATTTCTCCTAAGAGTTAAGTTTTGAACAACAAATACAAAATTATTTCAGTTAACAGTAACCAGCATTTCAAACTACTGAGCTTAGCTAATAATATTCCTATGGAGACATAAATTTTAAACCATGGTAGAGTAGAACTACATTACTATAAACATCAAGAAGATGTGACTATAACAATGTATATGTCCTAAAACATAACTATTCAAACAACTATAATGCAATTAAAATACAGTAAGAACAACACACCTGTGACTTAACAATAGTATTATAACAAAGATTTCTCCTGAATTTGAGGCAGAAGGTTATTCTACATGAGGCTACTTTTTAAGACTTTATTTATATCCACAGGCATTAAAAAAAGTACTTCCAGGTATAATATTGGAGTACAGAGGGGAGGGTAAATAACAGATACATGCACAGTCTGCAGCACTGTTGAGTAGAAATTTGTGCAAGGATGGAAATGATCTATATCTGTGTCGTCCAATATGATAGCCAATAACCACATGTGGGTACTGAGCACGTGAAAGGTGGTCAGTGTGACTGAAAAAAATAAAAATGTAATGTAATCTAATTTTATTTAATTAATTTAAAATATAAAAGTTACACGTGACCAGTGTTAACTGTAATTGTACAGTGCAGATCTAATACATTCCTTTAAAAGCAAATGGTTAAGATAGGCCTGTAATCCCAGCTACTCAGAAGACCTGGGCGGGAGGAATGCTTGAGGCCAGGGGTTTGAGATCAGCCTAGGCAAAATAGAAGGACCTCCATCTCTAAAAAAAGCAATTTTAAAAAATTAGTCACGCATGGTGGCATGAGCCTGTAGTCCCAGCTACTCAGGAATCTGAGGCAGAAGGACTGCTTGAGCACAGTAGTCTCAGTAGGTTTCAATGAACTATGATTGTGCCACTGTACTCCAGGCTGGGCGACAGACGGAAACTCTTTCATATAATATGGTAATATCAGAAAGTTTCAAAGAAAAAGTAATCATCTAGACAAGACTATTTACCAAGCACATTAAATTATGGAAATGCTTATACAATAATCCATATATTTTTACATATCTGAAAAGACTCCCTAATTTAAAGAAATAGCTACAAATGTAAAGGTTTGTTTTTGTTTTTCTTTGAGACAGAGTCTTGCTCTGTCGCCCAGGTTGGAGTGCAGCGGCATGATCTCAGCTCACTGCAACCTCTGCCTCCCGGGTTCAAGCAATTCTCCTGCCTCAGCCTCCTGAGTAGCTAGGATTATAGACGTGCATCACCACACCCAGCTAATTTTTGTATTTTTAGAAGAGACAGGGTTTCACCATGTTGGCCAGGCTGGCCTCGAACTCCTGACCTCGTGATCTGCCCACCTCAGTGCTTGGGGCGGAGCAGGGGAGATTACAGGCGTGAGCCACCATGCCTGGCCTGAATAAGGGTTTTTTTTGTTTTGTTTTGTTTTGTTTTAATTTATTTTAAAGAGTTTCGTAAGTGGGAGACCTGACAATATCTGACTTCAAGGCTTGATACAAACTGCAGTAATCAAGACAGAGTAATATTGGCAAAAGAACAGACAGGTAAATCAATGGAACAGAATAGAAAGCTCAGAAATAGATGCAAGTGAATATAATCAATTGATTTTTGACAAAGAAACAAAGGCAATGCAGTGGAGAAAAAGTCTTTCAACAAACGGCCCTGAACAATGTAACATCTACATGCAAAAAAGTTTATCTAGACATAAACCTTATACCCTTCTTTTAATTCCAATTATTTAATTCCAATTTATTTATTTTCATGTTATTCACTGGATCAACTTCATTTGAAGTTTATACTCTTGATGGTGAAATATCTGACATTATTGTGAATTTTATCATAAATTCACTTTAAAATTTCAATACTGAATATGTTTGTAAAAATGATAACATGGGCTGGGCGCGGTGGCTCACACCTGTAATCCCAGCACTTTGGGAGGTCAACGCGGGTGGATCACCTGAGGTCAGGAGTTCAAGACCAGCCTGGTCAACATGGTGAAACTCTTTCTCTACTAAAAATACATAAATAATTAGCCAGGCATGGTGGCAGACACCTGTAATCCCAGCTACTGTGGAGGCTGAGGCAGGAAAATTGCTTGGACCCGGGAGGCGGAGGTTGCAGTGAGCCGAGATTACACCTCTGCACTCCAGCCTGGGCAAGAGAATAAGACTCTGTCTCAAAAATAAATAAAATAAAATAA